TGTCAAATATACTCAATATATTGCTCAATATTTCTATCCTCTAAGACCTGATACGAAATTCCTTAACTCTTTCTTCTGGAATTGGAACTTGTGTTCTACTGAGTACTAGTACTCTAACTTAGTACTACTGCTCTAACTGTAATGATATGAGCGTTCTTAAAGGTAAAGGGACCCCTGACCATTAGGTCCAGTCGTGACCGACTCTGGGGTTACGGCGCTCATCTCGCTTTATTAGCCAAGGGAGCCGGCATACAGCTTCCGGGTTATGTGGCCAGCATGACTAAGCTGCTTCTGGTGAACCAGAGCAGCACACGGAAACACCCTTTATCTTCCCACCGGAGCGGTACCTATTTATCTACTTGCGCTTTGACGTGCTTTCAAACTGCTAGGTTGGCAAGAGCAGGGACCGAATTTTGGAGAGAAACTTGGAGAAGCCAGAGAATGAAGCTGGTACAGTGGTACCTCGGGTTACAGATGTTTCAGGTTACAGACTCTGCTAACCCAGAAATAGTACCTCGGGTTAAGAACTTTGCTTCAGGGTGAGAACAGAAATCGTGCTTTGGCGGTGCAGCGGCAGCAGGATGCCCCATTAGCTAAAGTGGTACCTCAGGTTAAGAACAGTTTCAGGTTAAGAACGGACCTCCGGAACCAATTAAGTTCTTAACCCAAGGTACCACTGTACTTTCTGGAGGCAAATAATTTGTTATGTCACTGTATTCCCTCCTCACTTGAGGTGCACTGAGCTTCTTCAAATGGCTCATGAAATTGTTGTCTCTATCCCTCCTTTGCTATCCCTCTCCTGCGTCTTTTCACTTTATTACACTGCTCCTGATGGTTACTGGAAGCCTGAATGCCATGCCTCTCAAAAACATGCTATTCAAGGTCTAGGGTGGCATCTCAAGTGATATGTGTTGAGTCATCTGACTACTAGGTAAATAACTGACCTATAGGTTGCAACACCAGAGATACTATGTGACCACAGGTGCAAATCTGACAGCTGCAGTCAGAAATTACTCTCATTAATTCGTTCACCTCAGTTTTATTGTTCCTGGATGTATAACATACCTATAAACTGAGGTGCTGGGCACCCACTTGAAACCAAGTCTTGAACCTAGAGCAGACAGCATAAGAATAAATAAGAAAAGCTGCCGTAACATGAAAGAAATGTAGTTTAACTTTAATGAAGATTGAAAGGTTGGTTCTGTATCACAGGGTAATTTTTCACTGCCTTCCAGTACCAGGCTGGAATGTGTATACAGAGTTTTTACTATGACGTATGAGTTGATTAGCCTTGACAGGAGAACATGTTTAATTACTGAAGAGGCGTTTTAATTGTGGTTTGTGGGCAGCATTTGTGTTTTGGGAGGTGTGTCATAAGTTGTAGATGAGATGCTCCTGGACCAGAGAGGCAATAGCTCCGAATGAGAACTGGACTACATATATAAACAGGACTAGTTGCTGGCAAAAGTATTACTGGCTTTATAAAAATAGCAGATGTTGGAGGGAAAGGGTGCCAAGACGACTAACACAATCTCAGCGGGAAGCCGTTGGCATGTAAATGTTAATGACCCAACAAGGCACCATGAAGGAAGACGTTTGCTAGAAATCCAAAAATGTGGATGAAGTTGCCGAGAGTAACATTCCCAGGGGAAGGAAGGGGGAGGAGAATACCTAATAAATACATGTAATGTGAGCACTGCAGTGTTTAAGCCTTAAAATGTTTGGCGAAGGAAATTAGAATTTATAAATCATTAAACTAAAGATAAATCCAGGAGTTGAATAATTCTGCCAGAGTACTGGAGTGAGTAGAAAAAAGGGGGGCTGGGCTGGGCAGCAGCACACAACAAAAGTGCTGCTGTCAGATTTGATGGCTTGGAGCTTATATTTATTTATTTGGATTTATTGATATTTCCATCCTACATTGAAAGCACAGGTTAGGCTGCAACATTTAATCCTGCGTACACAACCAGATTAAATTGCAGCAATGATTTACTTCTTGTAGGGCACCATTTGATATTAGTTAGAACCACAACCCTGTGATGGGCTGTGAGGGAAATGAGAATGGGGAATAACTGGAATCTGGTGGTGCTTCCTTTCCGTTCCAGAGAGCCCTGGTGCTGAGTCAGATCTCACAGGGCATGCATAATATCACCATCCTGCAAGAGATTATGCATGTGCAAGAGAGCCTGGGTGGATTCTGGAAACAGTTCTACAGGTTCTGTGGAACTATGGGCAAGAAAATCAAGTCCTGCCAAACAAATTCTGGATATGAATGTAGGTTGACGGATGCTGTGGCTTTGTTCTCCCTTTTATAACGCATTTATAACAGGGTTGGGGAAGCGGTTTATACCATATGCCTCAGATGTTGTTGCACTCCAACTCTCATCAGCCCATCCAGCAAAGCCCAAGGGCAGGAATGATCAGAGGTGTAGTCCTGCAACATCTGGGGGAACACACATTCCCCGCTGCTGATTTATAATTCCCAATGGGGAATGCATTCATTTTTAAAATGCAGAAAAGAGTTCATAATCCACAATACTTTTTTTTTTAAATGGAAAAAGTTGCACCATTAAGAATAACAAATTCTAGAAAAAAGAAACATGACTTTCTACTACCAGCATTGAACATATGGAGCTTTTAAGATTCAGAACAAGACTCTGGATTCTATCAAGTAAGAAAAAGAAAAATCAGGATAGGAGCACATAAGGAGGTACCGTTGTCACTTTGGGTGGTTTATATATTTCTTTATTTGGATTTATTTTCCATCTTACTTTGAAAGTATAGGCTAGGTCAGGGGTCACCAACCTGACCATGGTGCCCACCAGGGTCTTCTTGGATGCCCTCAGGATAAACCATGCTCCTCAGGTTTCCAGGTTTCAATAAAACCAAAAGTAAGTTTCTAGCATTTTCTGAACCTAGGAGGCAAAATGTACATACACCATGTACATGATAAATGAGCCTGCTCCACGCCTTTCAGTGGTTTACTCTGCCTCTCCAAAAGCCTCCCCCACCCACCGGGAATGCTGCAAACACCCACGTGTGTGAGACAAAAAGTACACTTGGGAGAGAAAGGGGGAAAGAGCTACGTGTGGTCTGTGTGAGAGAGGGAGATATGCATTTGGCAGGACAGGTGTACTGCATATGTGAAGTGTGTGTGTGAGATTATATATATATATATATATATATAATTGAGAGAGAGAGATGCACATGTGTTTGTGGTCAGCATGTGTGTGATGAGTGTGTGCGCGCAAGATGCACCTTGTATATTTTTTCCTGTTACTAGGGAATGCTCCATGTTGTTGGTGTGCATTGTTAGGTGTGCACTCGCAGCTCTCTGCCCCTACCTGGCTCACTCACTCTCTCTCACTGCAGTGCTGGCTGTGCGAATCTGATCCGAGCCGCTGGGTCGCCGCCCACTGTGGAGGGGGTGGGTGCCAGGCGTGCGGTGCAGAGAGAGAGCGAGGGACTATCTGGGGGAGGGACAGTGCAGCGCCGCCCAGCGCAGCACTGAGCGCGGGAAAGAACCACACCAGACCAGACCAGGCAGCAGCAAGAAGAAGCTGGCAGCGGCGGCAGGTTAGGGGTTAGGGGGCGCAAATTACTTGCCTTGCCCCGGGTTAGGGGGTGCAAATTACTTGCCTTGCCCCGGGTGCTGACAACCCACGCTACGCCGCTGGTTTGTTTTTTTTAAAATCTCCAACTGCTTCTCTACTGGATTTGCTTTACTGGCATCATTCTGTATTCTGCCCATGTGGTCCCCCTTTGTCTTTCTAGGTGTTGCAATTGCTTTGTAATTTCCTCTTCAAGATATGGGGAGTGGTAGTGGTGCCAGAAGGAAGTCTGTGGAATCATTGAAATCCAAAAAGTCTATTAAAAACACTACTTGGCCTTTTCTAGATGTAGGAGAAATTGCCAACAGCCATTTGCAGAACTAGAAATAAATGTTGGACATTAATCTAGGAAAGATATTATTCTACATGACTAGGATATGATGCAGGATGTATAGCTGGTATTCCTTCTGCAGTGACAGCTGGCTCTTTCGTCAGTTATTCCCCTTTCATTTCGGGACCCATTGAGAACTAAATTACATTTCTGCTGGAACTGAAACTCTTCCACTGACTAACTAAATATTTCTTTTTTGACTCTCCTAATTTATCATCTGAAAACATTTTTGAAAAGAGATTCAACTGAATTATTGATCTGACAAAGAACTATATGGTCACAAAGCTCAGTTTGATAGAGCCTCCAACCAGAATAGCTTTGTTTGTCTCCAGCTATTACAAAGTTTAAAAATTCTCAAGAATAATAACTTTAAATTATCCTGTAAAGATGAAATACAATCTAGGTGATAGTCATATACAGATTTACATCTTGCTTTAATTTTCCAGAGGGAGACTTGATTTCCTGTTCTGTTCTAAGCATGTGGATACAGACATACATAAAGCTGCCCAAAATAAGTGGACTTTACTCCCAGGGAAGTTGGCTATAATTTGTAGGTATGAGGCAGATTACAGCCCATGCCACACTTTTCAGTGCCCCATGCTAATTTGTAATCCTGGCCTGTGTTCTAGCCAATGTTAGTCCTATTCAGAGTAGATCTATTGAAATTAATGTACCTAACTTAGTCACGCCTCATCATTTAAGTGGCCTACTCTGAGACTAATCTTGGATGCAACCCAGAACATCTTTTTTTTATTATATTATTAATGCCCATGTCTTTAAAAAGAGAGAAGTACATAATTAACTCCCCCACTGATATAGTTGGATTGGGTCCTGTTGGAATTTGAATTTTATTGCAGGCCAGAAAAACCTAAAGAGCTAGAAGTGGAATCAAGGCAAAAAGGTGCTTTGATATCATTCACCCAGTAAAGTGGCTGTTCTGTAGACAAAAATGTATTGCTGAACTAAATATTGTTGGCAGGTTTTCTTTCCCCCTGACCTCAGTGCTTTAATTTTCAACTCTGAATCTGCACATGGTCTTATTATGCTTTTGCATTTACTGTTGCAACATGTACAGTGTAGGACAAGGGCTTGTTAACCATAAGCATCTCTCCAGTTGGCAGGCAGCCTGCAGCAGCACTTCTAACAGATGTTTCTGCTTTATAGATCAATACAAGAGGAGCTCTTGCCTTGTCCAGGATGGAAACAAATGCCAGCACAGCGTTCCAGTGACAACTACTGTGACACAAGGAGGCTGATCAGAGATGCCATGCTTTATGGTCACCGCCACCAATGAAAAATAAAGTGATATTCAAAGAGGCATGTTTTAATGATTCATCTAGAGTTGATGAGACTCTGGCAAGACTCCTGTCTTTTTGAAACAGAAGTGGGAAACCTTTTTCTTTTTTACCTTGTGCAGCAAACAACATTCAGGGGAGGCTGGTGCCCATTGGACCTGGCAGACAGGATGCCAAGAGTAGCAGAGGCAGAGCAAATGACTGGCAGAATAGAACCAATATTAGCAAGAGCAGAGCTATTTTTCTATAAAAAGAGGTGCCGGAACCAGTGCTTTTTGGGGGATGGGTACTCAAGGGTACACAGTAGTGGCGCCTCTTTTTGTTGTTGTTAAAAAGTGTGGCACTTACTGTGATGACTTCATGGTGAGTACTGGCACCTATTTTATTAGAAAAAAAGGCACTGGCCAGAACTCACCACGAATGCCTCTCTTGTTCTCTTATAATGCTAATGGTGCCCAACTGAGAGGTGCCAGAACTGAGTTCTGACCAGCTCCTGCTGGAAAAAGCACTGAGCAAGAGCCAACTAATTTTGGTTTTGCTCTCATCCTCCTCCCTGTTGAATTCTACGAAGGCAACACTGAGACTAAAGAGGAGGAAGCTGACAGCCAGATGCTTCCCCCCTGGGTTGGATATAGGGAAGGAGGTAGCTTAGTTGCACTAGCCTCCATTGGATACATTGCTGCCATGCAAAAGCCAAAGGTTTCTAGACACCCATCTCTTTCCATCTTTCATCCAGACACGCAAGAGGCACCAGCGTATTTGAAGGACACATTCCAACATGGGAGTAGGGAATGAGGACATGCCAAGGAGCCTTTCCCCTAGTCTTTGTACAAAGATTGCTGCCATCTGTGGCAATGGAGCCCTTGTGTGTACAGCTAAAGGCTTCCACATGACTTGAAACCTTGCACTATAATAGGGTTGCCATATTTCAAGCACTGAAAATCCGGACAGAAAAGTTTTTGTTTGCCAACATTGTTGAGCTTCTTTAGCAAAATTGCAAAGATAAAGCCCGAAGGTTTTGAGCTATTTTTAAGGAAACTTGCCCAAAATGACACTGCCAACATAGGTTGCCATACGTCCAGATTTTCCCAGACATTTTAGCAATTTCCGCCCGGACACTGCCTCCGACTGCAGTATTCCAGATAAGTCTGAGAAATTCTGGATGTATGGCAACCCTACACTATGATGATTCCATGTCACAGGGGGCAGGTCTACTCAGTGGACACAGCTCCAGCATTAATGAAACAGGAATATTAATGGCTGAAGAACACTTTAGAGATTCTAAGCTTCTAGAAATCCTGAAGAATGGGCCAAACTATATGTGGCATTAGTCAAGCATCTCTCAAGTACAAAAGCTGGGTGTTTTGTTTCATTTTTTGACAAATAGTCAGTGGGCGTCTTCATGGGTAACCTAATGTAATGTCTTCTGCTTCAGAGTCCCCATGTTGATAATATAAAATCTAGCAGTTACCGTATTTTTCGCTCTATAGGACTCACTTTTTCTCCTCCCAAAATTAAGGGGAAATGTGTGTGCGTCCTATGGAGCGAATGCAGGCTCCTTGGCTTCAACGATAGCAACGCAAAGCCTCTGAAGCGCAGAGGGAGCACTCCCTCCACGCCCCGGAGGCTTTGTGTTGCTTTTGCTGAAGCCTGGAGAGCGAGAGGGGTCGGTGCGCACCAACCCCTCTCACTCTCCAGGCTTCAGGGATAGCTGCCTGAAACTTTCAGAGCACTGTGCGAGTTCCCGCTGCGCTCCGCAGGCTTCAGGTTCCTTTCGCTGAAGCCAGGAGAGTCTTGCTCTCCCGGCTTCAGCAAAAGGAACCCGAAGCCTGCAGAGCGCAGTGGGAACTCGCACAGTGCTCCGAAGGCAGCAGGTCGGGGAGCAGCTCCCCAGGGCTGGGGGTGAGGGAAGCTCGGCTTTCCCCACCACCAACCCCACAAACAAAAGGAACCCGAGGCTATCTGGAAAGCTAGAGGGGTCAGTGCGCACCGACCCCTCTCGCTCTCCAGATAGCTGCCTGAAGCCTCCGGAGCACGGCAGGAGCTCCCACCGCGCTCCGAAGGCTTCGGGATGCCTTCTGCTGAATCCTGGAGAGCGAGAGGGGTCAATGCGCACCAACCCCTATCACTCTCCAGGCTTCAAATATAGCCGCCTGAAACCTCCGGAGTGCAGCGGGAGCTCCCGCTGTGCTCTGGAGGCTTCAGGTTCCTTTTGCTGAAGGGTAGGTGCCCCTTCAGCTAAATGGGAGGAGAAATGGAAGGGGCTCCGTTTCTCCTGCCACTTCGCTGAAGGGGCGCTGTGCAGAGAGGGGGAGATTTTTTTTTTTCTTGTTCTCCCGTTCTAAAACAAGGTGCGTCCTATGGTCCGGTGCATCCTATAGAGCGAAAAATACGGTATTTGGATCAGCCACTCACAAACACTAATCAGCGAACCTTTCCAAATGAAAGGTGTTGGCAGAAAAGGGCAGAACATTAGTTTTTTTTTTCATTTCTACTTACTGAGGAAAGACCTCACCAGACACAATAAATCCACTTACCATAACCACCAAAGAGTAGAGCGAAGAAGTTTCAAACAGCAAACATCACACCTTTGCTGAGCCCCTATGTGCTGAGGCATGGCCACAGCAAAGTGACGGAGCATCTGATTGGAAAAAGAGATCCCAGGTTCTTCCTTGGCATTTCCATATAGGGCTGAGAAAGGCTCCTGTCTTGGACTGCAGACATCCACTGCCTGTCAGCATAGGGAGTGGTGAGTTAAAAGAATCTATGGTCTGACTTGGTAGCCAATATGATGAAGATTCCTCTGATCCCTGTTTTAAATCCATTGGTTTTTCTTCTTCTGTATCAGCAGTTAGTATCAGCTTTCTAGGCTGCATGCAGCCACCTAAAAATGAAAGGCAAAAGAATAACTGACAACGGTGACATGACTGACAGAAGAAGAAAACAGATGATGCATTTTCACAGCTTCTAAAAATGTTCAGAGAGAGAATCCAATGAATTCTGGGTACCGGTAAATACCCACCTTCCAATCTTCATCAGGAAGAATGCTTAGCTCAACTGTACAGATGTGGTGCTCCAGATGTCTGTAACCCCAGAAATTAGCCACACTATTAAATGCTCTCAGTCTCTCTATGTCCCAAACTGGTGAATACCCATCCCTGTTCCTGAGATTCACAGTGATATCTAACAAATAAAGAAACGCAGGCCATTCAATGTTGGAAGCTGCCCAGAGTGGCTGGGAAAACCCAACCAGATGGGTGGGGTACAAATAAAACAACAACAACAACAACAACAACAACAATACTATATATCCACTTTGCTACAATCTCCTAGGTGGGTGCGGCAAGGGTGCCTGTCTTTCCAGGTCCTTTCCTGAACTGGTTCTACTATATAGTTCCCCAGAAGAGACACAGGAAGCTGCTGTCTAGACAGGGGATAAGGGGCATAGTTTGGTTGACCTGGCTCAGCTTAGGTTGAGGAGCCATTGCTCAATAATCTTCCAATGCAGACTCTGCTTGCATAAGGTCCCAAGAAGAGTGTGTCACTATCTCCTGCTAAAGGTGCCAGGGTGGAGATGCCACAGATACATAAAGAAAGAGAGACAGTATACAACTGGTTATATGCGAATGCTAGAAGCCTCCAAGCCAAGACAGGTGAACTGGAGTACTGGCTTTGATATAGTGGACATAACAGAAACCCGGTATAATGGAGAGAGCCAGTGGTACATGGTTGTCTCTGGATAGAAATTCTAGTGCCTGTACACCATTCATATCCCTCCACAACAGAACAGCTGGCATGTTGCTTGATAGCACCCTCACTCTAGGCATTTCAAGACTGTCGCTATTTGGGGGAAAGATTCTGTCCCATACCAGCAAATTCACAACCATAGTTGATGGAGAGGTCTTGCACAACAAGCTTGCGCTAGGCTAAAATCTCAGACTTTTTGTGATAAGGAAAACAAAGGAGAAGTGCACTGGAAAGAAACACCATCTAAACTCCCCGCAAACAGATCAGAAAGGATGCTCAGCAGACGGGACATCTGGAAGCACCCACTGACTCGGCACCACAGTGTAGTCAATAGTGCTTCAGACTTCCACCTGGAGCACAGGGGGAGAGATTCCTACCTCACTTCTTCACTCTTTTATTGATACTGCAGCACCTTAGCTTTCTATTAAGAGCTTTCAAAAGAACGTAAGAATTTTGGCCTTCATCTCCAGTTCTGGTGTTAATGGGGATAATTTAAAGTTCACACCCATTTCCCAAAAGGGTTCTCCTTTTTTTTTTTAACCTTTAAAGTGTAATATGAAGTTTAAAATTATTTATTTTGATTGGAAGTATTTGGAAACTTTCCTCTCCGTTGCTTTTTAAAAGGTGTCATTGTTTTATTAATGTTGATTAATAAAATTCCAAAAGCATTAGCAAAATTGAGTAAACTCCAACCTTTTTATGAGTGTGTGTCTCTGTTCGTGTGTGTGTGTGAAAATGAATGTAATAAAAAGATCCCAGCAGCTCTGTTAAACTGTATGCTTAGCAGTCTCCTTTGTGATTGTTCTACCAGATGTTTTATAATGCTAGACACAAGACCATTTGCTTTTTCCCTCTCTCTCTCTCTCTCTCAGGAGGGAAGAAAGAAGCCTTGGCTCTGACTCAGAAGCCTACAGATTGAGACCCTGTAGCTCAGGAACACTGTAGCCTTCCCTTCAGTTGCAGAGAAATCTGGATTATTCACAGACAATCACTTCCCTGTTTTCTCTGTTGAAAAAATAATTAATACTTTTTCAGACTGATCATCTGTATGCTTATTGTTGGAAGCAAGCCTCAAACCTACTTCCAACTAATTGTGCATTGGACGGCAGCTTTAGAGAGGTATTAAGGAGCCTACAGAATACATTTACCAGTATCTTCCCTAAAATGCTGGTCCAAGCACTGTTCAAATTGGACAGTTGTCCCAAATACCTCTTCTGAAGGAGTTTTCTGTCATCTTAATATTCCAATCATAGCATGAACTTCACCCTTGTCAGAC